ATAGTCTAGTAATAACTTAAGCCAGATAAACTTTTTTTAATTATTTATTTAAATCTAGAAAGTATAGATATTCTAGATATAATATTCTGATAAATTAAAATATTAAAAAAATTAGAAAATAGACTAGAACCGGAGCTATAAGTAAGAAGTAATAATAAAATAATAAATATATTTTTAATAATAAGATTAAGTATATAGAATAACCAGTATATTAAATATAAATATTAAGCTTAGAATAATCTTAGATTAAATATTAATTAAAACTACAGTAAAAATATTTTTTTTTAAATAAATTTAAACTAGAATAACAGGTAGCAGGAAATAGAAAAATTTATAAAATTATAATTTAAAATAAAAAATCTTTTACTAATAGAATTTGTAAAAGATTTTTATAAAATTTTTCTAGAAAAGATAAGATTAATTAATCTAATAAATAGTTTCTAAAACTTATTATAAAATTTAAAATATATTATAATCTTCTGCTGTTCAGGAATTAAAAAAAATAAATTAAAATATAATAATTTTTTTCAGACGGGATGTTATTCAGAAATATAATTTTTAATTTATAATTAATATTTTTTTTTAATATTAAAAGTAATATATTTAAATATATTCTAGTTTCTCAGGCTAGATATTAAAATTTAATAAAATAAATATTAAATTTCTAGTTATCCTGCTTTAAATAATATAATTTTAATTAAATATTATAAATATAGTTAGAATCTTTAAAAATATATTATAAAAATTTTAAGATCTTTATATAGTCTGTTAGAGTATAAATTCTATTCTTAATATAAAATTAAATCTAGTTATATAATATTCTTTCTAGATAGCTTATAATATAAGATATATAAATTTATAAAATTAAATAATAATTATAATTAATAAATATTTTTTCTTAGATCTAGAAGATAAATCAGGTAAAATTAATATAATTATTTTTAAATTTATTAAAATTATAAATATATTTAAAAAAAAGACAGAGATAGAAAAATTAGAATTAATTAATAAAACTATTTTTACTAAAACAGTTATTATATTTTTAGTAATAGATTTAAGTGTTTAATCAGAGATATTAATTATAAATATAATAACTTAGATAGTTCTAGTATATTTTTTTAATATTTAATTTTTTTTTTAATAATAATCTTCTTAATAGTAAGTATCTTGATAAGCTAATAATTAATATTTATAATTTACTAGATTTAGTAAATTATTATAATATTTCTTATAGTAAGATTCTGCTAGAGTTAGAAATAGTTATTATTTATTTTTATTATAAAAATTAAGATTTAATTATAGTAATTATACTATTCTTCAGGATTCTCTGTGATATGTTATATAAATTCTTTGAATTTATTAGAATTAATCAAAGATTATAGGATAGTGGATATCTGGTTAATTATTTATTTTAAAAAAAAAAAATTATATAATATCAAGATATAGGCTGGCAGGAGTAATAGAAAGATAATTTAAATAAAAAATAGAAATAGATAGGAGACTGGCTGGCTAATTATAATTAGATTATATATAAGAAGATAGATAAGATATAGCTTAAAGCTATAAATAGGATCTGGAAGACTGGTGAGTTTTATGCCTCTTCGGGTCATATGCCTGGGTGGCTAGTCCGGGCAGTACTCCACGGCTGGCACCGTGACATTGATATATTATAGAATTAAAAAGACATCTTTTATATGGGATTTCAGGATGGCCCGCCTGACCGTGTGGCCCGTTCGACTGTTGATTACGTTAGAGCACATTATGACTCCTAGAAGGAGAAGGCTGTTTCAGATCAACACGCAAAGAATACCGTGGCGCTGCGTGCACCGAAGCTCCGGAGGCCGTGAGAATTAGTATACGGGACGCCAAGGCGGAGGTTGGTTAGACGGCCGAAAATGGCGCCCGGCTAACCGTCACAACGTGAAAAAGAGTATAATATGCGATATTCAACTTTAAACACAAATTACCCTAAAAGAAAAAGAAAGAGAATCCTTTCGATGATCTAGATTGATTACTATCAGAAACTAGTCTAGTCGCGGAGGATTGAACAGGAAGAAAGTATCATATCAGGCCATAAGCTGCTCTTTCCTCTTTCTCCCGCGCGCGCCCTTTTTGTCCCTTTTTCACATGTCACGCCACTCCCTCCAACTCCCCTTGTGTCAATTCAAACTCTCCAACTTTCCTTCCAGCACTTTTTCTTCCTCATCCCTGCCTCATTGCTGCCTGCTTATTCTTCGCAGCATTATTTACCCTCCATCTCTCTCCTCCGATTCACAGCCATCGAAATATGCCCTTTGCATCCCGCCATTCTTCCTTGTCCTCTCGATCCTGACCTCCCTTGACTTTCCACCTCCGCGATCCCCCCCCCGTCTCCCGCAAAAATGGCCGCCGCTGTTGTCGCCAATGGCCATACCACCCCCTCTGCCGATGTCGCCAAACAGCGTAGGCTAATTCACCACCATGCCGATGTCGTGATTGTGGGCGCTGGAATACTGGGATGTGCATTGGCGGTGGCACTTGGAAGACAAGGGCGCAGCGTCCTGCTGCTGGAGGCGTCCATGAAGGAGCCTGACCGGATCGTCGGAGAATTGCTACAGCCTGGCGGTGTCGAGGCGCTTGAGAAATTGGGTCTTGCCGATTGTCTGGAAGACATTGACGCCATCCCAGCCAAGGGCTACTATGTGTCGTACTTTGGGAAACCCGTCTCGTTTGCCTACCCCAAGCCCTCTTCGTCGTCGCCCGCCCCGCAAGGGCGTTGTTTCCACCATGGCCGCTTCATCATGAAGCTGCGGGCTGCCGCGCTGGCCTGTCCCAACGTCACGGTCGTAGAGACCAAGGCCACCGACTTGGTCACTTGCTCCCACACCAAGCAGGTTCTTGGTGTCGAGTGTGTGACCCGCGACATGAAGGATTGCTACTTCGGCCATCTTACGGTGGTGGCAGATGGCTACGCCTCGAAATTTCGCAAGCAATACCACTCCAACACCCCTAAGGTCCGGTCCAGGTTCTGGGGCTTGGAGTTGATCGATGCAGACCTTCCCATGCCTTACCATGGCCACGTCCTCCTCAGCGACAATGCCCCTATCCTCGTCTACCAGATTGGCACCCACGAAACCCGCATCCTCATCGACATCCCAGAAAACCTCCCATCGGCCTCCGTCAAGAACGGCGGTGTCAAGAACCACCTTCGCAACGTCGTTCTCCCGTCCCTTCCCAAATCTATTCAGCCTTCATTTGTTGCTGCGTTGGACAAGGGTCAGCTGCGCTCGATGCCGAACTCATATCTCCCTAGTGCGCCAAACAAGACTCCCGGTCTGGTCATTCTAGGAGATGCGCTCAACATGCGGCATCCGCTGACCGGTGGAGGAATGACCGTCGCATTCAACGACGTTGTGGTCCTACGTGACTTGCTCAGTCCGGAGAAAGTCTCCACCCTCGCTAATCATGAACAAGTCCTGCGACAGCTGTCCTCCTTCCACTGGCAACGGAAGAAAGCATCCTCAGTCATCAACATCTTAGCGCAGGCTCTCTATGCCCTGTTTGCTGCCAACGGTTCGTTTATCCTCTCCCCCGTTGCACCCAGAGTCCCAGCAGCTAACGCCAGACCCCCTCTGGGGCAAATCTAGACGAAAATTTGCGTGCTCTTCAACGAGGCTGCTTCCGTTACTTCGAGCTAGGAATGACCAGCGGCCCAATTGGTCTTCTGGGTGGGCTGATCAAAAAGCCAGATGTTCTGTTCTGGCATTTCTTCAGTGTCGCCTTTCTCTCTCTCTGGCTCGTCATCACCGAGCATCCCTTTTACATGCTGCCTCTGGCCTTCCTGAAATGCATTATGGTTTTCTGGACCGCATGCGTTGTGATTTTCCCCTACATGCTGATAGAGGCATTCTGCTAAAGGGGAAATCGCCGCTGCCGTCACCATTACTACCACCATCATCAGCAGCATCATCCTCTTCCCCTAACTTCATTATACCTCTTTATTTATACCTAATGAACCCGCACCGGGTTGATTCATTTCAATGAGTTGCAAGTGCCGAAGAAGCCATGACCACCAATCCCGTCCATATGTATTTATCACACCAGATCTGATCATTTTTCTCTTGTCATATATTCTCTGTGTTACCTTTTAATACCTCCCTTTCTCGCTTCTGATCCTACATGTATTATTAGAAAGCTATTTCTTGTCTTCTTGCTCCAAAGTTACTACCTGTATCTCCTAGATTCTGTATATACGATAGAATTGATCGATCGTCTCTTTCCGAAGAATGGCAAGGCCCGGACGCATAACCTGCAGGATGTCACACCGGAGGTGATTCGGGATGAAACCTTCTGGGTACTGGGATGGAAGGAATAACGTAGTTAGTTCATTTATGATTCAATGTTAAGTAATAACCACAGCATCTTTCTACAGGGAAGGAGACCTGATGGTAGAAATCACATGTATATGTAAATTCCAACGTCTACATTTGCACCTCTTCCCCCCCAACCCCAACTGCCCAAACCCATAACCGATGTGGATGGAATATGTAACATAGGCAATGAAAGGACAAGAAGGAAAAAAAACGGAAACAGCATCTCTGTCAACTAATCGACACACGCACGCAAACAAGAAACTGTGAAAGTCAAACCATATGAACCCGCTCGCCCGGCTCCCTGCTATGATGGTATATTGACAATGACAATGACAATGATAATAATAATGATGATGATGATGATGATGATGATGATGTTGGTGATGATGATGATGATGATGACGGTCATGCCGATGGACTATAATCTTCAAAAGCGGATGAAAAGAAAACAAAACAATATGATGAAGAAACAAAAACGGCGAGGAGACCAATTCGGCCAGACGAAGGAAGAAGAACGGGCCATCTAGGCCATATGCCATTCCGCTTCAATTTTGGTGTCTTTCAAATCAGCTGACACTTCTTTTTTTATCTTCCCCCTTGGAGCTCGATCGCACCCGCGGGGATATTTCATTTGGTCTGCGTATTTTTTTTTTGGCGTTTCGCTGCCCTCTATGCAGCACCACTGCAGGGAGCAAGGGGAAAGATGATACAGCCGGTATGCAAAGTCGTATGGACCCAACAGCCTGGGGGGAAGCCCTCAATCACAACCCAAAGGAGTCAAATGCAAACTCCAAACCACATCAAAACAAAACCACAGTATAAGATGAACCACGACATAGAGGACGGGGCAACATATATCATATGCAATTCTCACAAGTAACCCATGGTAACCAGCCAAACCCCCCTGACTTGCCAATTTTCCGTTATTTAACCTTGCAAAACGCCAATATTGAACATGAATAGAGAAAAAGGACGGATGAAAAGTGTCATGTACTTCCATAACATGTAGCAAGAAAACAAGTGCAATCGAAATCATGTCATTTGCAAGAAGAGGACGCCGCCTCATTTATACAGTACCATGGAACATCCCTCCAGCTGATCGAAGGGTTCGATAGTATACTCAAGCACTCCTCCCAAAAATAAACGCATTTGTAAAATCGTAGCACAGGCTATACGATAGCCATGCATGTAACAGGCTATATGGCCGCCAGGAAGCTCTCTACCCGATGCTGGTTCAGTAAACAGGCCAACCCGGTAGGTGTTCCCCAACCAAGCACAGCTATGGCTCAGCTTGGCCGAAGGTATCGCGCGTGCGGCCTGTGCTAGATAAGACTGCTGGAGGCAACGCAACACGGACAACAGATAATGCTCACAATGACACATCATCTAGTATTTTCAACCCCCCTTTCTCAATGACTCATCTGCTGGGAGGGGCTCCGCACCACTATGCAAGCCATGCCTGTGTTCTGTTGAATGTCTGGCATTCTTCTTCGGCTTCCTTTTGGTCGTCTGCCAACCACCACCGGCATGAGCGACAGCGGAGTCCGGTGTCGAACTGACCCCGTTGGACTTTCGCGATTGAGCAATGGGATGACGTTTCTCGTTATCGGTTGGTCCGGAAGGCGGATTGTGATTCTTCGATTTCGTTTTGTGTGAAACCCCGTTGGCCCGTTCAGAAGCATCGACGCCATTAGGCCGCCGTTTCCCACTGGAAGAAAAGTGCGAGTCCGCCGCTGGCGATGGCCCTGTGGTTAGTGGCTTTTCACCTGAATTTACCTGTTTCGAGCGATGATTGTCTCTATCCGCTGCTTCGTGATTCGATTGCGGCACTTTCATCTTCTCGGTACTATGCTTCAGCTGAGGTTCGGAGGTCTTTTCGGAGTTTGCGAGATGAAGGCTTTGCAACCGGCTCGAGAGCAGACTCTGCTTTGCACCGTGTCCATTAACAAAGGAATCAGCTGCTTTCCCTGTTTGGTAAATGTCAACCCCCTGACGACCAAAGTAGGGCGGCTGATCAATCTCGACCGAGCTATTGTCCTGGTATTCATGAGACACAGAGTCTGAGACGCTCGCTGGCGTATCCATATTCAGGTCATCTGAATTCGACGTACAGTGGCTCATAGCCGTGTACGGATCATAGCTTTCCGCCGATACCGAGAGACGCTGTTCACTAGGGGGTACCGAGCCGTCCACGATCAAAGGTCCGCTCCGATCACCAGATGCAGCTGGTCGCGAAGTTGCACGCTGCGACGTCGACCCTGGTTTCGTTGGCAATGCAGAGCTGTTATCTGAGGCTTGACCGGTCGCTTCACTTGCCGGAATTGACGTCATATAATCCTGAGGGTTCGTAACAAATGGCACGACGCCGCCGTTCTGCAGTGCCAGTCCTACCGGAGATAGCGGCGATAGTAAAGCGTTTTGATGATACGTCTGTAGCTGCGGGGAAGTTGCAAGGTAATATCCCATATACTCATTCGGCCGGCATTCATCAAAATAGGTAGAACGAGACACGTTGGGAAGGCTGCTCGGCATAAAGGTGTTGTTCTCATCGCCCTGTGTACCGTCGGGTGAGCCGGGAGCATTGCGCGCCTTCGACCCCGGCGAGCTGTCCGCCATCTGAGATATCGAATACAGTGGCGCAAAGCTCGGAAGGGAATTGACTGTTCGAGCCGGCTGTGAGTGTGCTCGGAGTGACCCACCCGGAGATCCGTTGGCAACAGATGATCGACGCGGACTACGCCGAAGGTCCGGCATGGCAGCAGTGGCTGAAGGCGACGGCGGATTTGTGTTGCTCCCCTGCACGCCAGGAACTCCCACAGGGAGGTAGTGACTGTTGTAATACACGTTCTGGCGGTGCGGTGTGCTGAGAGGCGGATGGTTCACAGTGCCCGACCTTGATCGAGAGTTGTCGTCGCCTGAAGATTCTTGTTGCTGAGGCATTGGGAACTGAATAAACGGTTGGCGAATGAGAACCGGCGGCGGCCTCCCAGTGAGGAGCGCCTGGTTCTGCAGCTGCAGCCGCAGTTCTTGCTCTTGGGCCTGAAGGATCTGTATTTGCTGATAGAGATGGTCATGCAAGAGGTACTGTGCGTGCTGCGCTTGCAAAGAAAGCTCAGAGGCGGTCATACCGTTGGGTTGACGAAAGTTACCGGACTTATTCGGTGTGTTGGAAGCCCTACGACCACCGGAGTGCCCTCCTCGGGAGAACTGATTCGAATGTCGTCCGCCACGACCTCCGCGACCTCCGCGGGACGGTGGCGGTGCTGCAGTGAGCACAGGACGCGGTTGGGGCGGCGGTCTCTCCCACGAGCGTTCTTCCTCCGGGGGATATTCGTATTGTTCGCAGCAGTGCTCCAGGTTCCCTTCGGAAACGGCCTGGAATGCCCGGCGCAGCTCCATATGGACCCCTCGAAACGATGTGTCGTCCGCTGTGTTTCCCAAATTCCGTGAAGTGTTGAAAGGCTCTTCCACACATAAACGGTTGTTTTGTAGCAAGTGCCAGCCTTTCGCCTCCTTCGACAAGAGCTTCCCCTCACGGACAGATATCACATGCCGCTCGTAATCGAGTTCATGACCATAGTATTTGAAAAACTGGAAGAGTAGCTCTCCGAGACTCTGCTTGTTTTTCCGCCCATAGCCAACAAGGGAATCGAGGTCATCATCAAAAGAACAGACTATCCCGTCCGCGGTCAATTTCTTCTTATGCGGCCGAGCTTGAAGGCTCGGCAAAACGGGGGGGTCTCGCGTTTGTAAGAAATTGATTATCAGGCAAATCCACGTGTAGGAGCTTAGTGTGCCTCCAAGGCCTGTGTGCGGACAGTCAGTCGAAAACTCGCTCCAGTTGTCTGTCCAAAATCGACGACTCGACACATACCGGCATCGTTGAGGATCCTCCGTTTCGTCCAATGCTTGATTATCATAGCCAAGGGTCGCACGCGTTCGTCAAGTTCCACATACGTCCGGACCATCCGGGTATTCTCCAGTGCCATAGTATTATTGACGTTCATGTCGCATGCTAATCGCAGCTCCGGATCCCAGATCTTCACGATAGGTACTTTGGCGTGCGATACGCAAACGACCCGTTCCATACCATCTGTACCCCAAATCATTGTCAGCGACTGTTTACACAAGGAAGGCAAATGGTGGTTCGCTTACGCTTGGCTAGTACCTCTGCCAAGAGGCATACGTGCTCAAGCTCCTTATAAGTGGTAGTTATACAGATGTCCACTTAATCATCGTTAGAACACACACATAAAGTAAGCCGCATTACCGAAACATACCGTCTGAGTCACTTGAACAGAGCTTATTCCCCGACGAGCCGAAAACGTGAACCTTGATATTGCAGCCTGGCCACTGATCATTGAAGAGCTTCTCCAACTTGCGGACTAATTGACGTCGCCGGTCGTCGCTTTCAGCTGACGGCAGGAGTTGATCGTATACCTCCAACATATCTGCGCTGAGTCTCTTCTCCTCCTCCGGCTCCAACCGCTCCTTGAGGCCATCCTTTTCCTCCGGCAGCAGGTCGGCACCTAATGAATACGGCATTCTTCGACGGAAGAAAGCCATGGCGGTTTCATATTTGCAGCCCGAGAACTGTTTTCGCAGCGAGGGGGGAAGATGGGTAGACTCGGAGTGGGTGGAGCGAGGGGAGGTGTTTCCTTGCGGGGGCGAAGGTGACCTGGAGTGGAAAGAGATTTTTCGCGCATGTTGGTATGGTGTGGAGGGCAGGGAATTGGATTGCTGCGAAGTCAATGGCGGCCGATTCTTTGCCTCCGGAGACGTTTCTGTGGATAACTTCCACGGCATGTTCGAGGCCTTCCGTGCTGCTACCGGTGACCTTCCACCTGGGATGGAAGATAGTTTAGCATTCCCATGGGTGTCTGGGATCATATAGCGACTCCAACGTTGATCGAACAACGTTGGCCTCTGGGGAAGAGTGGGACGAGGAAGGTCCGACGGTATTCGGACGCTGATGTCGAGGTCCACCTAAAATCCAACCTTGCGGGCGGAAAACAGTCCGCCACCAGCGAGTGCAGTATAATCCGTCAACGAGGGAAAGCACGGCGAGTGTCTTCGGACGGGGACAGAGGGTAACCGTAGGGAGAGCGAAATCCGGAGACGAAGAAAGCAGTAGACTCTGTGCAGAACTCGGCCAGCGATAGGTCAGCAAAATCGCCTTTTGTGCTGCTGTGCTGTGCTATGCGCGGGCAAAAGGTATCGCAGTCCTCGATTTGAGGGGGGGGGTGTGGGAGGGGAGGCAAAAGGCAACTCTCGCAATAGTGGACCCGCCAGAAAATGGATTGAATAAAATCTGAAGCAGACCGGAGACAGGAGTGAATGAGGTATGGGGATTTCCAGCGCGAGGTAAATCGGGGTAGTGGGCAGAAGGTTCACTGAGTGGACGGACCGGGCGATCGTCAAACAGATAGACGGTGTTTTAAGGGGAGGGAGCGATGGCCTCTAGCCGGGAAGAAGGGCACACTGGAAAAAACCACACAAGGCGAGCGGAAGAGTCGTATCGCGGAAGAGCAACACCGAATTTGCTCCATGTAAGGACCAGCCAGGTGATTTGAGCGAACGAATATACGAAAAATTCCAACAGGTTGCTAGGCAGGTCAATCGACGAAGCAAGCACCAAGGGGAGGAGGGGGGGTGTGATCTGCTGGTGGTGGTTGTAGTGGTAGTAGTAGTTGGTTGGTGTGGTTGCTTGGTGGTTTGCTGCAGAGGTAAGCCAAAAGCCAAAAGCCGGGAGCCAGAGCCACAGAGCCAGGGGGGGGGGAACAACTGCAATTGCGTTCCAACGGCGGGAAACTCTGCCAGGCGTTCCGACAAGTGGGCACGGCTGGGTAACCGCCGTTTATGCTTCCAGCCCAGAGGGAACTATTATCGCTCTATGAGAGATAGACCCCTCCACACAGAAAGCCTGCGAACAACAATAGACAGGGGGCCAAAAAAAAAAAAAAAGAAGAAGAAGAAGAAAAGAGAAAGAACACAAATAATAAAATATAAGTTACAGAGCACCGGAAAGTGTAAAACAAAAACGGAATGGGGAAGAAAAAAAAGAAAGAAAAAGAGGAAGCTATTTCCTTCCTTCCTTCCTTCCTTTTCCTTTACTTCGTTTTCCAGAAAGGAAAGAAAGGAAAAAGAGTGGGAAACGTCTCAGGGAAAGAATGACGGTTATAGGAAGAAACCAAAAAAAAAAAAAAAAAAAAAAAAAAAAAAAAAAAAATTGAGTGTTTACAGAAAAGAAAAGAGACGGATAATCACAAGGAGTCCGTTGGAGGGGTTGTTGCAGCAGAAGGGGCCAGATTCAAGAGAAAGAGAAGAATACTACCGAGCAATAGAAAGCGGGATTCGAGGATGATTGAAGAACCAACACGTTTGGAAACAGCAGTCAACTCACCTAAGCACAACAGCAAGGAAGGAAGTAATTCCAGATAGATGACAGGTAGCCTGGTCAGTGTCCCTCCTGAAGGACTCGGGGGACTAGCCGGGGAAGGAGGAAGCTACTACTAGTAAAAGCAGCAACAGCAACAACAATACTAGGAGTAGTAGTAGTAGTAGTAGTAGGAGTTCTTGTACGGAGTCCGCGGTGGTAGCGGTTGGTGGTGTTGGAGGTAAATACTACTAAGTAAGTAGTACTTAGTAGGTGTGCCCCGAGGCAGGAGTAATATCGGAAGCTATTGGTCTTTTGCCAAATTAATTGCGGCGGTTGCGAATGGGGAAAAGGGAAGAATGGAAGAAGTTCCTATCAATAGGGCAAGTCATGTCATCCACGATGTCTGGTTTTGATTTGTTCCAGTTTCCCCTGTTCCCCTATTTAATTTCTGATTTTTCCACCTCTGAATTATTTCTTCGTTTCCATCCGTAGTTTCTTTATTCCCCAATCGAACCCACTTCTTTCCCCTTCACTGCCTCAGGCATACATCCCCACTATAGGATGAAGAGGTCCTGAATATCGATTACTTGACCCATTGATGATTATTGAGTAGGCAGGGTTGTTTGGTATGGATGTTTTACTACTAGTAAGTAGTAGCATGGGTAGAGGGGAGGAGGGAGGGTAACAAATTACTACGTAGTATTGTTTGGTCCTAATGAGACTTGCTCTCCAATGTGGTGGTCCTGCTCATATCCATCTGAAACGAAACTCGCTCTTATTATTCACTATTCATCAGGCACTCAATGGGATGCGCCATTGCACACCCACAGCCAACTCTATGCTTATGCTGGCATTTGCTTCTACGAAATGGATATACTAAGTACCTCCATGGAACCTGCAGAAATTGTCATGTTAATCCCCGTCCATGGACTGGCCAATTGACTAGCTCAGCAGGGTGACGTGCATTCTCCGACTACTTATTACCACCGATGCATGCGACATCTAGTCCGGCTAAATGTCCTCCGTCCTGCTTGCTGGTTTAAAGTGTAGCCGTTCATCCCTCCTCATGATGTTAAGCAGTGAAGCGCTCCGCACCAAAAGAAGAGCGGAACGATACGGTAGTGAGAGGGGAGAGGAAGCCACGTCCCGATCGTGTCCAACGTTCGAAAGTGTCTAGATAAACCCATCTGCTCTGCTCCTTTGTGTGAACCTCAATCGCCGGTACGCGGTAGAAGTCATGTTACTCGACGCCTCAAGGTTTCCAATAGTCGGTTCCTGCCACTAAGACAGCCCGGCTGGGTTCATTGTTCTTCCCCCTTTTTCTCTGCCCCGCGTTTCCCGTGCTCCTGTCAGGGAGTTTCAACTTTCGACTGTCTCGGCCCTTGGTCCGGTCAAATGCGTCTTGCTGGCGGCACGTGTGGCCGAAATGAACTAACTTCAGGCCAGTTGCCTTGGTCCACCACCTGTTTAAACACCTTCGGAAGCCCGCTTCTTCACGACGACGGTCTGTCTTGGATCAACTATCTAGTTTACTGGCTGCATATTAAGTCTGAAACTCCTACTTCCTTCTCCGTTCTGAGAGCCAGAATGTTGTCCCACTCTCAGCCACAACGCCAACACTTGCAGTGATGATGGGGCCGATGTCCCTTGACGGATCCTTCTCACATAACGGTTTGAGTTTGTGTGGAGATGCGATAGAGCCGACTGCCACTCTCCTTCTTGGGGTGGGAAATATTGCCAGAAATTCAAATTTCAACCCAATAAGCTGGTGAGTTACGAAGTTTAAAGATAGCTCATATCGCTATGTAAAGGTGGAAGTGAGCGTAGTATTGTCGCTGCCTCGAAGTTTCGTTCCGACTCTCCTAGCCAGTCATACAACGTTGGCGCTCGCCTGTGTTTCAGTAGGTTAGGTTTTGCTTGTACGGTCTCAACCTCCCTTCGTTCAGGTGACGAAAGTTGCATGCGGGAGCTGGAGTTAGCTTAGAGATGGAAAGCAATCGTAAACTGGGCACATTACAATCCCAGCAGCTATGCTTGACATCTCAACTTGATTGGCGAGATCAACTGATATTTTTGGCTGGTGAGTACGTACTTAGTACTCAGTATCTGGTATCTCCTAGCTGGGGACCTCCCGAATCCAATCATTCGGGAGAAGAGCTTGATAATTTTGGTCAGGGTCGTCTGCTGGCCGAAATTGGATAAGAAGACCCAGAACCCCAGAGTGGCGTAGAAGCTATTGACTCGGGTTGAGTAGCGAGAACTAACATGCACGAAAGCCAGCACGGCCAGCCACAGAGGTCATATTTCTGCAGAGGCGCGCAGCAGCTGAGCGAAACATAATATGCTCTATGATGTAGATAGTAGACGTGCAGGTTGAGTGCACATCTCTTAGTCTTGGCACAATCATACTAGTACTGGGTAGGACAAGTTTTTTTCCAACGGTCAATCGTCGAGTCAATTTAAGTCCCCCCATCCGATGTCGGCCGATCAAAACGCCGTAAGGACCCTTGAAGTAGTAAGTTGGGTTGTCATTTCTGTATCAGGATTATCGCCACTGGGAAAGATCCATTTCTATCCCAATGTATCCCCGATATGTTAGGTGGTGGATGATGGATGACATGCTGATCCAAGCCACTGGCAGCATGATGACGACGGACCAACCCATCTTGTGATTTGGGTATGTTCCTACCTCCTACTCGGAGCGAGCCAGGGGGGCGGCGGTCCGAGTGTTATCCGTGTTGAACTGGCCATGCCCCACCACCAGAGACCTCCTGGATTGCGCGCCCAGACGATACGGAGTATTTATCCAACATTACTAAAGACGTAAGGTTGAACCGTGACAGATGCCGGACTTCCCACCACTTCTTATTGGAGACAAGCAAGACTAGACTAGTTAGTAGGTAAGAACCTCGCCGACCTTGTGATGCAGCTGCTGTCAAGGAGAGCCCGAACAGGATTATTATGATCACATGATGTGTATAATTTGGGACAGAGACACCTTGTTGGAGATCACCTCTAAGTCCAGACGTGGAAGAGTTATTGCAACAACCATGAAAGAAATATACACAGTTTGTATATAGTTAGGGATGTGGAATGAGATGCTAATTCCCGGGGTGGATTTTCAAGACAAATCTGACTCGGGGGACCGATGGAGGTGAGATGGTGTGTGTACCCGCAAGGAGTGTGGCCGACCACCGCACGCTAGCCCCCTTTGGGATTGATTAGGAGCATACCAAGTTCCAAATTTATCCCCACGAGGACCAATGACTTTGCTGACGCTGTTCAAATTCCGTTTGGTTCCAATGTCTTCGTTCTGTAGGAAGCTTTCAAGATCTCATTTAGACCAGTGCCATCATATGAGAACCAATGTGTAGTTTGGAGCTGATCATCAAGTCATGTTAGTTTCAACTTACTACTTGATTAGTGG